CTTTCACTTGCTTTTTTTCCACAGACGATTTGATAATAGGCGTCAAGCAAAAATGAAATCCTATGTTACAGCTCAGAGTTGATCTAATCAGGATAGGGAGGGATAGGGAGATTCAGACTCAAATCAAAATAAATACATATACAAATGTGAAATGAAGTGATTTACTTGATCTCCCCAACTCTGAAGCGAGGGAAGCAGGGAGACAACGGCAACAAAACACCAAAAACTCCAGTTGGGATCCGATCAAGATCTCATGCACGGGAATGTCCGCATCTTTAAGACACACACACAAACCCACACAAAGACACACACACACCTCCAGCCCACCACGCTCAGCATCCATCTAGGGGCTCCCGGGGATGCTGGGGATCCAGGAGGAGAGGAGAGATGGGGGGGGGGGGATCATTTTGGGGAATTCTCAACGGGGCACATTAGAAATAGAGAAAGCGTCATTTATATTTAGGCGTGAATGATTGTCTACAAACGCTGCATAGTCGCGTCTCTCCCTCTGAGCCCGGGACCACAAGCATGCGGCGTTTGGGGAGAGACTTTGCACAGTTTTAAAAAAGCACAATCCTCACCACGCCATACGTTCAGGATTTCTTTCAGAGTCACGTTTGCAGAGACACGACAGTAATTAGCAGCAAAAGTGGCAGAAAGTGTGATGGAAGAGGACGCGTGCTTACCGTAGAGGAGTTCTTTCGCTCTTTCTCCAGGGTCTTTGCAAAGCCTTCACGTCTTCATGATTAAAACAAACAATAATCCTGCGTGAATCGGCTCCCCTCCTGTGCAGGCAGGTGATGGGGCTGCGTGGATGTGCCCGAGACCGTTGGTGATATTTGGTTAAATCCAGCCGAGGAGCGCAGGCAGGGGTAGCTCTGGACGCGTGTAGCACAGGCTCAGAGAAGGAGGACCTCAGTAAGCAGCAGCAGCCACCACCGCCGTGCGTGAGAGAAGAGCGTGCGTGTGCGTGTGCGGGCGTGAGAGAGAGAGAGAGAGAGAGAGAGAGAGAGAGCGCGCGCGGTGGAGGCTGAGAGAATGATGTCATGCGTCCGGCTGTCTCTCTCTTTCTTTCTCTCTCCGAGCGGAACTCAGCTCACTCATCTCTCCCTCTGACCAAATCCATCACTGCCATTTTGTCATTTCATATTTATTTGAATCAATGCAATTTCACTTTCGCTCAAAATCATCTCTGTTGACGTCCCAGAAATGGTTAAATCCCCCAAAACAGTTTAGAAAATGTACGCACAATTTACAAGGAACATGCTCTGTTTTAATAGTTTAGAAAATGTGCTAAAATATACTGTCATTTAGTCAGACAGTTTGTTAAAGTAATGGTCGTGGGTTCGATCCCTCCACGACCCATGTCACCCGCTCCCACTGGTGTCTGCTTTGGTTGTTTCCCTGGGCAAGGCACTCAACCCCGCCTTGCCCCTGCTGAAAGACCAAGGCCATGTTTTTCGATGACGGAGCAGCCATCTTCCTGAGGACACACCACCTGCAGCAGGATCAGAGGCACTGGGCACCTCTGGTTTTCACCTCCCCAACCCAGAAACAGATTAAGAAAGAGGAAGAAAATTACTTCACATGAAAGACTAATAAAGCTGGGCTACCTAACTTTCACACCACCAATAAACAAAAGGAAAGTGATCATGTCTTAAAAAGGAAAAACTTACAGGGGCGACCGTGGGTCAGTTGGTAGAGCTGAAGGTCGAGCCCACTGCAAGACCTTCTCCACCAACTCCCAATGATGTCTGCTGTCGTTGTGTCCTTGGGCAAGACACTTTACCCACTTTGCCTATAAGGAGCGCATGAAGTAATTGTACACTGCATGCCTTGATGTGTATTCGTCAGATTAAAATGTCCTCACTGTGGGGAGAAATAAGCATTATCTTCTTCTATCTTCTTCTTCTTGTCTCCTATAAACTAGAACATGAATGCATATCTCGTACTTTTTTGCCGCTATATTAGTCCTCTGCATTTGACCCATCCAGTAAAGAAGCATATAAACCAGTGGGGGCGGGTCCTGGCTCAAAAGTGGCCAAAATGACGTGCGCCGACATGCTTGCAATACCGCAATGTGTGTGCGTAAAAAGATTTGTGCGTGCGTAACCAGATTTGTGTGTGCGTAACCAGATTTGTGTGTGCGTAACCAGATTGATGTGTACGTAAAAAGATTTGTGCGTGCGTAACCAGATTTGTGCGAGTGTAAATAGATTTGTATGTACTTAACAAGATTTGTTTGTGCGTAAAAAGATTTGTGTGTGCGTAAAAAGATTAGTGTGTGCGTAACAAGATTTGTGTGTGCGTAACTAGATCTGTGTGTGTGTACGTTTTACATACATGTTTTTTTTTACGCACAGATCTTTTGACGCAGTTCTACCAGATTTGCAAGTGTAACTTGGTCTGTGTGCGTGTGTACCCAGATTTGTGTGTGTGTATTTTGACATTTGTATCTGTAACAGAACAATCTGTGTGTAAATAACCACGTTGTACGAAGAGAAGAACGGAAAAAAAGCCTAAATGCTACGCACAGGTTCTCGTTTTACACACGAATCGTAAGTGTAATGTGGTTGTTCTAGCAGTACACCAGCAGATGGTGCTGTTGTAGCTGGTTATTACACGCAAGCTAACCAAAACTGTCTGCCTTGACACACTACCGCAGCTGTTTATGACGTTTTTTTCTATATTAAAAATTGTGTCATTCACACCACTGTATGATACATGGATCTATTATAATAACTGGATAGGGTATTACTAGCTTGGAGCTGAAGGACCCACGTGCTCAGGATATTCTCGCGGTACTGCAGACTAAACAAGACTAAATTCACGTGGGCTACACAGAAATTTTCCCATAGAACTCAATGTAACCTAAAACAGCTCGACCTCAGCTGACAGAGAACCTGACAGAGAACCTACAGCTTTCATAAAGGTCGGATGTTGAGGGGATGTTAGTGTCCCTTGTCATCCTGAACTTTTTTTCTTCTTAAATCCTTCGGTTCTCTTTAAATCCACCTTTTAATGCCACATACTCTTTGATTTGCTTTCGTGTAATAACCAGCTACAACAGCACCATCTGCTGGTGTACTGCTAGAACAACCACATTACACTTACGAATCTCTTTTGACACACTTCTGGCGCAAGAAGTGTGTCAAAAGACATTCGTGTGTAAAACGAGAACCTGTGCATAGCACTTTAGGCTTTTTTTCGTTCTTCTCTTCGTACAAGGTGGTTATTATTATAGGATCATGACACACAGATTGTTCTGTTACAGATACAAATGTCAAAATACACACACACAAATCTGGGTACACACGCACACAGTCCAAGTTACACTTGTGAATCTGCGAAGGCAGGACTGCGTCAAAAGATCTGTGTGTAAAAAAAAGACTAACCCTAACCCATACATTTTTTTTTACACACACAGATCTAGTTACGTACATACAAATCTATTTACGCTCGCACAAATATTTTTTCTACACACACACAAATCTGGATTCGCAGGCACAGATTTTTTTACGCACACACAAATCTTTTTACGCACACACAAATCTTTTTACACACACACATGTTTTTACGCACACACAAATCTGGTTACAAACGTACAAATCTTTTTACGCACACACTAATCTTTTTACGCACACGTACAAATATTATTGAAACATTAATAGCTCCATACGTGGCCATTTAAAAAAACTGCCCATAGACCGCAGAAGTTGTGGCACATTAGTTAGAACGGCAGAAATAAGTGTGACTACGTCCGTTAATATTTACAGTCTGTGATATAAACCTGTATGTGCTAATCTCCATCTAAACATCATTTGGTCATTGCTACTTTTCACCTTCATGTTGCTCTTCAGCCAATCAGCTCTCAGCCCTGTGTCACAGAGTAACTCACAGGGCTCTTTATACAAGTACTGTATATGCAAAAGTGTTTTCTAATGTCGAGGTCCAGAAACTACGACCTTCCCGTTCGACGCCAGCTCTTGACGTCACCCACAACTAAATACAATACTCTCCTTCCACGCTTGCGGGTCGGTCGGTCGAAATTCAACCAATTGTAATCTCTAACACAGGGACCAGACCCAGACGTTACATGCAGTGAAATGATGATTGAGCGGAGTGTGCGGATGGCTAATTCCAGGCTAGAGGGTCGTGGGTTCGAGCCCGTATTTCACCATCGACTCCCACTGACTGCTGTCGTTGTGTCCTTGGCAAGACACTTAACCTCTGGAAACACCAGCCTCAGTGGGGCGGCTGCGGCTGTAAAGTGCCAAACTGCCGTTGTGTCCTTAGGCAAGACACTTTACCCCCATTGCCTAGAATGAGTCTGGTGTGTGTGTGAATGGTTGGTGGTGGCTGGTTTCCTCACTTCTGTCAGTGTGCCCCAGGGCAGCTGTGGCTACAGTAGTAGTTTATCACCACCGTGTATGGAGTGAATGAATAATGTAACACTCTTTGAGTGTCCAAAAAAAAAAGGCGCTGCATAAAACCGATGCATTATTATTAAAAAAATAATAAGATGTAAACTTTTAGTTTCTATACTGTTTGGCTTTACATTTTGTTTTATTTTTTCTGTATAAATACCAGTGGACCTGGCAACAGTACAAAGGTTTGCAAACAATCTACAATCTGTGCACTGTAGTAATCTCAGCTGCCTCAGGATCCTAGGCTGAAATGTGATGTCACATGAAGACACTTGTAGCAAAGCCTTTTTGGCATTTACCTCAAAATTATGACTAGCAAGACCCTGGGCGAGACCCTGGACGAGACTTTGGACAGGACCCTGAACGGGCTACATCTCACGACACAGAGAGCTCAGCCTCCTCCATCCCTCCAGCCGTCTCAGAGATAAAGCTGTGCCACGTCTCACTGCTGATTATCAGATTTAAGAAAAAGATTTGAGCGTTTGTCTATCTGTTTGATTATTAGACCCCAAAAAAAAAATCACTGTGCAGTCAGACTGTACGTACAAGAAGTCACTTTAAGTCACTAATGCACTAGGACTGAAAAAACCTGCACTGCTCGTCCAGCGTCTCGTCCAGGGTCTCGTCCAGGGTCTCGTCCAGGATCTCGTCCAGGATATCGTCCAGGGTCTCGTCCAGGGTCTCGTCCAGGATCTCGTTCAGGATCTCGTCCAGGATCTCGCCCTGGGTCTCGTTCAGGATCTCGTCCAGGATCTCGCCCTGGGTCTCGTCCGGGGTCTCTTCCGGGGTCTCGTCCGGGGTCTCGTCCAGGATCTCGTCCAGGATCTCGCCCAGGATCTCGTCCAGGGTCTCGTTCAGGATCTCGTCCAGGATCTCGCCCTGGGTCTCGTCCAGGGTCTCGTCCAGGATCTCGTCCAGGGTCTCGTTCAGGATCTCGTCCAGGATCTCGCCCTGGGTCTCGTTCAGGATCTCGTCCAGGATCTCGCCCTGGGTCTCGTCCGGGGTCTCTTCCGGGGTCTCGTCCGGGGTCTCGTCCAGGATCTCGTCCAGGATCTCGCCCAGGATCTCGTCCAGGGTCTCGCCCTGGGACTCATCCAGGATCTCGTCCAAGGTCTCGCCCTGGGTCTCGTCCAGGATCTCGTCCAGGATCTCGTCCAGGGTGTCACTCAATCAATCAATCACATTTTATTTATAGAGCGCTTTTCATACAAAATATGCAAAACAAAGTGCTTTACAGTTTGATTAAAAACAATCCCTTGTTTGATCCACTGAGGGCGGATCCTGGATCAAGGAATACGTCAAGGAATACGTGCGCTAACGTGCTGTCATCTCACTCCTTGCCGGTGGGGGTGTACCCGGACAGAGAATTTCCCATGCTTTTGAATGGATGGAGCCTTCGTTCCTCTCGAACGTCTTTACAGGATGGTCCAAAAGTGGCTCTTGGTCCAAAGCTACGTTTCAGATGCTGTCGGGAGTGTATGTATTTAGACCAGTCTAGTTCAGCCGCTGTGGACTTTTGAATGCACTCGTTTGTATGAATGGATGAGTCGGCTGAGTGAAGACCGCGGGTGGGTCGGTCTTGTTGCAGGAGCTCAGTAAGGTAGGGGGCGGGGCCAGGTTATGGAGGGACTCGTAGGTGAGAAGGAGAAGGTGCTTGTATATCCAACACAATAATGAACGGGAGCCAGTGGAGCTGCTGGAGGGCAGGGGTGATGTGTTCTCTGGAGCCGGTGTGGATGAGGAGGAAGGCAGAGATGTATTGCAGAGGTGGGAGTCCGTAAAGGAGGCTGTTGCAGGAGTCAAGTCTCGAGCTGATGAAGACGTGGATGAAAATTTCGACTGTTGAACGGGTGGGGGCGGAGGTGGAAGAAGAATAAATTGTGATGTTGTGATGGTACAATCCATTGTTTCACTGCAATATCCATCAGATTATGGTCCTGAGTCCACACGCTGCACAACGTTCAGAGCAGGGCCACGGAGTGAAGTTTGCATGTTCTCTCTGTGTATCCAGTGTATCTCTGTATGTTTTCTCGGAGTGTTACAGACTTTCCGACTATTACTAAACAAAGAAAATTAAAACATTTAGCATTCAGGTCATTCCAGTGTTCTTACAGCTGTTCATAATACACACTGTCCCATCCCAAACGAATAAAAATGTTTCTTCTATACCACTAAAAACTGTGCAATAGCCTCTAGAAAAATACAATTCCTTCAATTTAAAAAAGAAATCAGATTTGAAGTCATTTACAAAAGATTGTGTAAAACTATTTTTTGTGCATAATTTGTATAATCACCTTGGCAAAAACGCACACTAATTTAAGCAGAAATAGACTTATTTAGTGATTAATTAACTAGGGGAAGAGTGCAGACGCAGAGGCTGTCATTACACACATTTACGGCTGGTTTGCGTTTCGGGCCTATAATTATTGAGAGAGATGCCAAAGGATGAATAAGAGAAAGACAAAGGGTTTCTGCTACTGATTCTAGACCTATCTTTGGATTATAATGTTAAAGAAGAAACAGAAATTGGTTCTGCTCATGTAAAAGTACAGTTGTATATGTTTGTATACACTGGTCTATTGTAAGTAAGTAAGTAAGTAAAGTTTATTTGTATAGCGCCTTTCACAGACCAGGGTCACAAAGCGCTTCACACATTAAAATACAAAATACACATACAAGTCAGATAAAACAAACACAGAAAACACAATTTACATTCACAGAGGCCTATGAACAATGGTGCGAGAGAGCCTGTCCAAACAAATGTGTCTTTAGTTGGGACTTAAAATCATCGACAGTCTTTACGATACACAGAGACTGAGGAAGCTCATTCCAAAGGCGAGGAGCAACTGCCTGGAAGGATCTGTCTCCTCTGGAGACCTGCTACCTGCTGTAGAAAAGGAGGATGGTGAATAATGAGGACCAATGCCGGGTATTCAAACTGCTCAAAGCTGAAATCTATGAATATCTATATACAGTACATAATAAGTTTTTAACCTTGCTTTGGAAATTATGGAATATCTTTGTCATTTTACCCATAGCTCTCTGAACTTCTGAGCGACGCCACCTGTACTTCAAAATGAATGGAGATTGAATCACGTTTTTGTCTTTTATCACTGTATGAGTGGATCCTATAGCTCAAGGATGCTATAGGAGCAATTGTTTGGAAACTTTTCTCTGTTGAGCGTAGCATCATCTAAACTAAGTATTTTATCATCTTCTATCTCTAGCAAACGTAGAAAAATAATGGATCCTGTCGACAACCTTGATCAAAAGTTAAAGCCCAGACACTTACAGCCATTGGGTCTAATCAAAGTAAAATACACACAAAATATAAGCCTTTTTTTCCTCACATAAGGTCTCTTCACAGGTCTCTGCACTGGCTCCCTGTGGCTCAGAGAATAGGTTATAAATCAGCTCTCCTTGTATACAAGTATTTCTTCTTGAATTGTCTTTTGTATTTGTTTTTACAGAGTGCTTTAAATTGGTTTTAAATGTTGCCAATATGAAGCATTTTGGTTGCATTCTGTATGAACTGTGCCATATGAAGAAAAGATCATTGATTGATTGATTGATAAAAAATGAAAAAGAATATTTAGTCTCCATCCCTCGTTGAGTCTCAAGCCTGTGTCTGTTGTTTTCAGGCAGGACAAGTCTGTAATTTGTGTTAAATTATTAGGAAGAGAATTCAAATCAGACAGAATAGTTTGCCATTTTCTGTCAGGACGCTTTTATCTCCCGTCCTCTTGTCTTCTCCATCACATGCTTTGGGTCTGGCTCTTGAACCTGGCTTTGTTCACCGTCCTCTCTTTCCTCTCTCTTCTCTTAATGCCCACAGCTGTGTGTAGGAGAATCGTCCAATCAGAGAGCAGGACAGTCTTTAATTAGTCGAGGAGTGGGCCTTTGTCACCTTGTACCGAGTACCTGCAATCAAGAGCCATGCGCCGCAGAGAAAGTCGGACAAGGCCACCCATTGATTGGCCGCTTCAGAAGTGTTCGCTGACATCAGACGCTTAAAGAGCTCTGACTTCATTTAGGGATAAAGATAATGCACCGGAGAGCAATTTACCCAAGGGAAGAGGGCTGCAATTCTATTTTACTCTAACACAATGGTTGATTCCAGTCCCAGGGAAGGACTAATGGAAGTCACATAATGCAATAATAATGATACAAGGATAGATACGGAAATTGGCTTCTGGGCCCAGACTGCTAAGAGCAAATTTGGATAGTCTCGCTGGATCATTTACATTTTATGCAACACAACAACACGTAGAGCAGGGGTCTCCAACCTTTACCGATCGGAGAGCTACTTTTATAAAACAGAACAGGCAGAGAGCTACTCCCTTTAGCAGTCGTAAAGAAAATTGATGTAATAATAACGACAAGAGAGAACACGCATTGAGAACACATGTAAAATATACCATAATGCTGCATAACCCTATATTTATATACTTATAATAGACATGTGTAACGGTTGCAAACTTGTCCACGAGCCGTATACGAACAACAGGACACAGTGTGGAGCCAACTACTTTACTCAGACCTGTGACAGACCAAAAATATACATTTTTAGTCACAGCGGACACACTGGCTCCCCCTCTGAAGCATACAACGCGGCTTTTTGAGGAGGGATGGGAGCAAATAATAATATCTTTACAGGATTTTCAAATGTTGACAGTAATTTCACATGAACAATGAAATACAAATAAAATAAATATATGTTGGAGGTAGTGGAGTAATCAATTGGAGTACAAATGCACAAACAAACACATTTTTCACATAAAAATAAATTAGGCATACCTGTGACAGACCAAAAATATAAATTTTAGTCACAGCGGACACACTGGCTCCCCCTACGGGATGAAAACGGCACGTGAGCATGGCACATGGTAAGCTAGCTAAATAAAAAGTTCAGAAAAACAAAAAGTGTGCGCTAGAAAATGTGCAAAAGTACGTTCATTGCATCCTAATACATTTCCTACTAAACGTATCTTAGTGAATATTGTGTAAAATACAACCAGGAAATGTAAACAAAAAAATCATAGTGCATTTCTATATCCGTTACACATGTAATGACTAAATCTGTATTAATTCAAGATCATTTGTTAAATTATAAATCCTTAGGGGAGCTTCCTGAAAGGGGCTGTTGAGCTACAGGTTGGAGACCCCTGATGTAGAGTATTTGTTGTGTTTAGTTGGTAGTTTCTGTGGGAGAAAGAACAACACATTCTCAAAAAAGGATGGTTTATGTCAGACGTCTCTATTATTGATCTGAATGTGGTTTGTTGTAACCGAGGTGATGAGGAATGTGCGCCTGCTTGTTCTGCTTGTTGCCTTTTCTTGCATTAATCTGCATTATTAAACTATACATCTCCATGGAGACAAGAAAGGAGCTCAGACATTTTGGGTTTTTTAACGTACCAAATTGTCAATAATGTGTTTGAAGAGGGACCAGCAGATTTGTCAGTTTTTCCCAAAGACTTGTGCTCGTTTTATTCTGTTAATTAATAATAATAATAATATTATGAATAATAATAATATAAATAATAATGCATTGGTTATATATTGCGCCTTTTTGGACCCTCAAAGACACTTCACAGTGTGCCACAGCTGACCTGGGGCACACTGACAGAAGCGAGGCAACCAGTCTGTGCCATCAGCCCCTCCCACCGCGGCTGCGACTGTAAAGTGCCAAACTGTGGTTGTGTCCTTTGGCAAGACACTTCACATTAGAATGAGTCTGGTGTGTGTGTGAATGGTTGGTGGAGGTGGGAGGGGCCGATGGCACAGACTGGTTGCCTCTCTTCTGTCAGTGTGCCCCAGGGCAGCTGTGGCTATAATAGTAGTTTATCACTGACATGTGAAGTCCTGAAAAGTACTGTATAAAACCAATGCATCATTATTATTATTATTAAGATGTTTGAAATATCGTAGAATTGATAGAATAGATAAACCAACACCAGTTTAAGATTTCCAGAGAATCGACTCATGCTTTTTCTAAACGTGTGACTCATGGAAACACATTTAATATCAAACTGACTTATTTTCATTTCCATAATTTGGAACATTTCAGGCACAAACAAGAAAAGAAAACACACTTTTTAAAATCTCTTCAGACGCTTCATTAAATTTGCGAATACAGTGGGAGAACAAGGCAGATGTGTCGCTATGGAGACCAACACCTGTGCCATTTCTCATAACCTTTTGCAAGCGTTACAGCAGCAGGAACACCTCATCCACAACAAACTGTAAACACTGTGGGTTTTAGCACCAAAGCTGTCAGGACGAAGGCTCCGCGGGCAGCTCGGCAAACAGTGTGCAATGGAAGAAGGGTTATTTTGGTTATCTTTCTTTTTACCCTTTATATTTATCTTAAATAATAGATCTTGTTTGTTTGTTCTTATTATTTGTCCTTTTGTTCCGCTGGAATGTGCACAAGGATTACACTGACATTTCCCCACTGAGGGACCAATTAAGTGTTATTTTATCTTTATTTTCTGTTTATGAGATGTATTGGAAAGGTAGGTTTAAGGTTTACTTCATTATCTTCAAAGGGAGAGTTATCCTCTGCATTTGACCCATCATGCACTAATGTCTTACTTTAAGACTTTGGAAAAATATGTCTTACTTTTCCAACTCTAACTCTCTAACTATATTAAACCCAAACCGATGAGCGGTCGGCATCAGAGCCTCCGCCATAAAACAATAATAATAATAATAGCTATAATGAAGTTTTATACAGTACCAGTTTTATTCTGTCTCTGTCTCTACCAAGACAGAGACAGAATATTAAAGAGCTGCCTGAATGAAAAGTTTTTAAGTTTATCCTTTTTAACCTCAGGCTGTATTAGATTATTTCATTGATTCTTTCATTTAAAGAGATCAAAATCCTGACAGCAGGCAGGAAAGAAAAGTTCTTTAAGATCAGTGTCTAACAAACAGCGGCATATTTTAATCTGCATCAGAAGTTGTTTTGTGTTTTACATTTGCTATTTTTCTTGTTTTTCTATACCTGAGATGTTGCTACAGTTCAGTGTTCATGGTTTTACACTGGTCCAGACCAGAGCAGAGAGGATTCATGGTCCAAACCAAGAGGATCAGGCAGATATCGACTGGAGGAATGCAAACTTTTTGAGAAATGCTAACAAAGCATTTAGCATTTTACTTTTGACCAGAGCAGAGACAATGGTCCTATAGGGCTGTTGGATTACAATATTTTTGTTTGTGTTTTTGTTACTGCTGGACACCTGCATTTCTCCAACAGGGATCAATAAACTACCGATATAGAAAACCACTATTTTCATCTCATTTTGGCAAAAGCAGCTCTAACTTTAGTCCGCGGAGGGAGAGCGCTCGCTGGTGCCATGACAGTGTGAAGAGAACAAGTCGTAACAACAGAAATAGCAGTGGTGCTATAGTACGGGGCAATAAATTGTCAGACTGGTAATGGCTCGGTAAGGTGCTGCTGCGACTGGGAACCCATCGGGCGTCACTTGCCTCATTAAACTTAAGCGCTGAGGGGATGAGTGGGCGATGTGTGGAACGCTGTCACCGTTAGACATGATTTTGTCTGTTGCCGGTGGATAACCCGACTGCGGATCACGTATAGACTTTGGTTGCATCTAGTTCCCCTTTTCACTCACACTGGAAAGAACTCTGAAAATAAGTGAAATACTGCAGTATGAAAAATGATCTGCCAATAAAACAGGCCAGGGCAAACTTTTCCTCCTGAGGGCCACGTTAGAATATGGCCAGACTTAATTTGTTTATTGTTTTAGCTTTGCATACAACTGAGGAATTTTATATTTTTATATATTTTTTAATGTACTGTGATTATTTATTTATTTTAATGATATCTTGTCTTGTTCAGTACTTTAAGTAAGTAAGTAAGAAATCGTTATTTTTATAGTGCCTTTCTCAGACTTTGAGTAGCCTTGTGTATGAATTGTGCTATACAAATAAACTTGCCTTGCCTTGCCTTTATTGTTTATTGGAGATCCCCATTAATCTAATCTTCCTGGGGTCCCAGTTAAGACAAATGTATTACAAAAAAACAAAACAATACATTGATTTATTGATTACCATAACCCACATTAAAATAGCATCTGAGGCCTGATTTATTTTCTAATGAGTTCATAAAAATGCTTATCACTACATACAAGTTGTATTAAAATCCGTAATTGAATTGAAAACTTGAGCTCATTGATTCAGCTGTATATGAATTCAGGCCGTAAAAAGTGCTGAGTAGAGGTTAGGGTTAGGGTTAGGGTTAGCCTCCAATCACAGAACGAGGCTGCGTCCTCTAGCCTCTACAGCGCTGCTAAACACAGTAGCATGTTAGCATCAGTGGCTATAACTCCTCCGGCTGTAACTGCAGACACAGACAAACAGCCCAAACCAAACAACAGTGAGGAAGAGAAGAGAGAACTGAAGCCAAAAAATGATCAAAGAAGAAGTCAAGCCCGGGTGAACATAGCTAGCTTACATCGTATCCTCTGGAGAGACTTACAGTCTATGAGAGAGACCTGCGGGACCGCCTCGGACTATCTATGCTTGGACTATTTATGCTTGGACTATTTATGCTCGGACTATCTATGCTCGGACCATCTACGCTCGGACCATCTTTGCTCGGACCATCTATGCTCGGACCATCTACGCTCGGACCATCTTTGCTCGGACCATCTACGCTCGGACTATCTATGCTCGGACTATCTATGCTCGGATTGGACCATCTGTGCTCGGACTATCTACGCTCGGACCATCTACGCTCGGACCATCTACGCTCGGACCATCTATGCTTGGACTATCTATGCAGTTAGACTTCCACTGTCCGTCATGGAGAGTGGGCGTGGCCGGGACGTCACATGCAAGGGGTCAATTGTCAAGTTCTGTCAATGTTCGTTCTGATCTTGGACATTTATTACGATCTCTTTATCAAATCACTAATCTTATTTTCTCCAAACAAGAAAAGTTG